GATAGTGATCATATGGACCCATATATTATCACATAGTTGTTTGACTCCTTTTTAAATCATAATGATAACAGAAATTACTCAAATGACCCTGATCAAATGTTTACATACACAGGTTAAAATGGCAATGAAATGTTAATGTCCCACATATGTGGCTTTTTAAATTGCAATTAGTGTCTGTGTATCAATAGTCAATGAGTTATTAAGAAGTGGAAAATTTGGGGATCTCTTGATATCAAGCCAAGGTCAGGTAAACCAAGAAAGATTTCAGCCACAACTGCCAGAAGAATTGTTCGGGATACAAAGAAAAACCCACAGGTAACCTTAGGGGAAATACAGGCTGCTCTGCAAAATGACAGTGTGGTTGTTTCAAAGAGCACAATACGACAATACTTGAACAAAAGTGCACTGGAAGATGCCTTAATGCACCAATGCCACAAAAAAGCCTGGTTACAATATGCCTGACAACACCTTGACATGCCTCACAGCTTCTGGCACAGCTTCTGGCACACTGTAATTTGGAGTAACGAGACCAAAATAGATCTTTATGATCACAACCATAAGCGCTATGTTTGGAGAGGGGTCAAAAGGCCTATAGTGAAAAGAATACAATCCTCAATGTGAAGTGGCTTAAAGATGGTGGTGGCTCACTGATGTTTTGGATGTGTGTGAGCTCTAAAGTCACAGGGAATCTTGATGGCAAGATGAATGCAGCAGGTTATTCGAAAATACTGACAGGCAATTTGAATTTTTCTACATGAAGGCTGCACATGGGACATTCTTGGACTTTCCAGCATGACAATGACCCTAAGCACAAGGCCAAGTTGACACTCCAGTGGTTACAGCAGAAAAAGGTGACTGTTCTGTAGTGGCCATCACAGTCTTCAGACCTTAATATCATGGAGCCACTCTGGAGAGATCTCAAACGTGCGGTTCATGCAAGACGACCAACAACGTTGCATGACCTGGAAGCATTTTGCCAAGAGGAATGGGCAGCTATACCACCTGCAAGAATTAGGGGCCTCATAGACAACTATGATGCTAAAGGGGGCAATACACAGTATTAAGAATAAAGGGTATGCAGACGTTTGAACAGGGGTCATTTCATATTTTTTTTTATTATTGCCATGTTTTGTTTTATGATTGTACCATTCTGTTGTAACCTACAGTTGAATATGAATCCCATAAGAAATTAGTTTTGCCTGCTCACTCATGTTTTCTTTAAAAATGGTACATATATTACTAATTCTCCAAGGGTATGCAAGCTTTTGAGCCCAGCTGTATGTGTAATGGATCACTGCACACTGGGTGTGTGGATATGACTTCCTCCTAGTAAATATAAGTTTCTGAAAATTACATCACCCATATTTCATGCATAAGGAAATATACAAGACAGGAGGATACAGAAATGAGAGGAACTGCACCCACTGTATGTGACAGCAATGCACTCATGTGGTTCTATCCATTGAAAAGATTAGTAAACACTGAATGGAACGAAGGCCTCTAGTATTCTACAGATTTCTCATCAAGATGTAGAAATGCAAATACTACCTGAAAGGCAAGGGACAAACCATGGGGGAATCTTGCAAATGAGGGAAAGAGGCAACTGTCCTCTAGTGCGCTGGCATGCTTGATTTGTCGGCTGCAGCTTCAGCGCACAGCTTTTCGACTGATGAAAAGAAACTGAAAGAGGCTGACAATTATGAGGGTACTCTTCCTGATTGCTTTGGCAAGCGCGTGCCCTGCACCCTTATTCAATTTACTCTACCATTAAATTGAGATTACTACATTTGTGAAAAAAAATGTGTTTTGGCCGGTTCATCCGAATCAATTTCCTTTTAATCCACACCCAAACTAATCGATTCGTCCAGGATTTACCTGTGGAGTCTTCTTCATTTATATATTATTTTAGTATTTCGTGCCAGTAATAATACTATTGATAATACTATTTTAGTATATCTTCAGCAGCCCATGAATTAAAAAAAAAAAAAAAGTACAAAACAAAGAACACATATTAACACTATATACCTATTCTTTCCTTCACAGCATTTGTTCAGCTTTGTATTTGGGATATTGAGAATTAAAAAAAAAGGAGGACATAGTTTTCAGTAGGACATAGTTACTTTTATTTCTCTCCAGGTAGACGTATTCATGCCCTGCCTAGCCCTTGACGTTTGAGCAGGCATGAATTACTCATTATAGCCACTGGGGGGCGCTCCCACCGTGAAAGGAATCTAGCGACTGTATCTCGCTGAATTAGGTAGAACGCTGTCCCGGTAGCAACTAAGTAAATAGTTAGAGCGAGGCCGCCCTGTACAGGCTGCGCATTGCTGTTTATTACAGGGGGATTTCCTTGCTGCCAGACGATCCCTGGATGGTTATGCGCAATATTGAACTTGGATAGAATAAAGTGGACTCTGATCTTCTTTCTTTTCCTCCAAGACTGTTTATTTCCCCCACCCCCGGGCAGGTGGAGCTGGAGCTGTCATACTCAGTAACTGGAGCTCAATCACCTTCATATTCTGTATTGTGTTCTGCTGCTACATTCTAAACCTGGGCAAATCCACCTCTCAGAACTCCACTGGGCAAATCCACCTCTCAGAATTCCACCCTGCAAATCCACCTCTCGGAACTCCACTGGGCTGAAGTAAGTGAACCAATTAAGTGCTGCCCTGCATGTGCCTCCCTACAAGTTTATACAAACCATGGACTGCACTTTACATACTTCACAGGATTGTGCATTGGCTAATAGACTGGGCTTGATGGAATTTGGTTTACACAGTCAGTGTTCAGGGATACTCTTATGCCTATAACAGGTTACAGTTAAATGCT